AGGAAGCTTTGAGTGCTGAAATAGGTTCACTGGTAAGGAACAGAAACGCAAAAGGAACGGGGACAACAGATGCCTATTTGTTTAAAAATACATCGAAATTGCCCTCCTTTCCCACATCTTGAATGATTTGTCAGTTTCTCGCTGATAAATACTTTCCTCCCAACCACCCGCCATCCCTGAATAAAATGTCTCAGTGGCTACGTCCATGCGTATCTTCACTCAAACACTGACACGATGACATCAAGCCCCGTAGCATAACCCCGTAGCAGGTTTGCATACTAGATTACAAATTTTCGTCGATATTTACCCTGAAGATCTACATTTCCGTACACCTAAATTATGTGTTTTTTAATGGTATACCAAGAGCAGAAAGACTCTGTTTTCGGACTCAGTGTATTCCCATTGAAGTGAAAATGAGATTGTTGTACTGTTTTTTGGTTAATCCAGCTCCCAGCAGACTGGTACTATCAGACCTAGGCCTATTATCGATACTAAGCGGCTTGGTTATGGCAAAGTGCTCTCATCTAACAGAATGTCATGGCAGGGGATTAGTGATCGTCTCAGCTTCCTTCGTCATTCATCTCCTCATCACTGCTATTACGCGATGCACCGGGGTACTCTTTTCGTCCTTCCAAAACGAGTTCCTGAGCACCGCAGCGCAGACAGGCGCCATCTCCAGCATCATGTCTGCATCTTCGTTTTTCGGTAGTGAGTAATTGCACTGATTCTGTGCTTGATCTGGGTAGTGTAGCTCCTCGCGTGGAGTACTCAGGCCAGCTACTCACCTGAGTCAGTAGTCTTGAATCTGGAGAAACACGACGCCTGTACATTGTAGGGGGCACAGTATAGTTAATGCACTTGTGCTCTGATTAAGTAATTCGAGTCAAGCTTTTGGCCGGAATGAAAAGTAATAAAAATGAAATTTCCCTATGAGTAATGCGACTGACTAATTGCAGGTACCCTTGGTGGTGTGTTGGAGAATCGCTTCGGGTGTCGCATCACAGCGTTTATCGGTGGTTTGCTCAACATCGCGGGAATGTTGGGTTGCGCTCTAACTAGAAACATCTATCAGATGTACGTGACGGGCGCTCTGGCAGGTAAAAAAAAAAGCCAAATCAGTGGACCTCGGTGTAAAAACTTGAATCAAAGTCATTTTAACAAAACCAACCCTGACATTATTTTTGGCAGTTACAGTCCCAATTGAATTTTGAATTAGTGTGTGGTCATTATTGTAATGTACAAGTGCGTGTATTTCACGGTCTTCAGGCAAATTTCATTGGTAGTAAGTTAAGCGAATATTGCTAAGTTTTTATATACTACTTTCCCATGCTGTAGGACTTGGTAACGGGATATCTTATGTATCTGCTGTGGTTATAGTCGCTCAGTATTTCAAGAAGTATTATTCCATAGCGGCGTCGTTCATGACTACAGGAGACAGTGTAGGAATTATGATGTTTGGTCCATTGATGCATCTCTTACTGAGTACGTACGGTTGGCGAGGAACGTTGGTGGTAACTTGCGCCATCACGGCCAACATCTGCGTTGCAGGGGCAGTCTGCCGTCCCAATAGGCAATCAAGTTTGTACCGGGGTCGTAACTTCAGAGATGGGTATCGTTCCACGAATGAGTCTGGCAATGGTGATGAGGAGCAAGATTTGACGGTTCAAGCCAACGAAACACGAAGGGATTCCTCAGAGAGAAGGGCTGATACATGGAATTCATTCCGCTTTGCCGGTATTATGTCCAGAATAGCAGAGATGCTTCGGCTGAACATACTTTGGCAAAGTTATCGTTTTTCCATGTTTTGCTTCACACAATGTGCCTACATCATCTCTCTTGGATGTTACCTCATTTATTTGGTGCCTCGCGCAACGACGTCCGGTGTTCCTGACGAAAAGGCTGCCCTTCTCTTAAGCGTGATTGGAATTGGTGGGTTAGTGGGCCGCCCTTTCTGTGGAGTTATCAACCGCAAGGTACCTTCGGTTATTATTTATGATGCGTCCATCCTTACTGGAGGCTGTGCCGTCTTGATGGCCCAGTTTGGCACATACGGACACTTCGTGGCCTCAGCCGCTGTGTTTGGACTGGCAGTAGGTTTTCAACGTACCATATCACCTGTTCTGATCCGTGAATATGTCGGCACAGATAATTTGGGATCAGCGGTGGGACTGTACAGCGGGTTTGGAGGTGTTGCTGACTTAATTGGCCCAATTTTAGCAGGTTGGTCGCCACAGTCTCTTAGAATACTTTTAACGTTACATGTACATGTATATTGAAGTGCCTATCTTGAAACGACCGAACATAGAATCAGAGCTTGAGTGATGATGTGAAAACGCTTAATTGTGATGTGAAATTTGACCACTTGCCACGAGTCAAAGCTATTTTTCCGGTTTGTTATATATACATGTATTTTTATCTATCAGACACCGCCTGTTGCCAAAACCATACCTGGCACATAGTTCCATAGTTCCAATTCCAAGTGCACTTATGGTTCTTGTATGCATGACGTACCATAAATAGAAACAGTTTAAAATGAATGGAGGTTGTGGTTTGGCAAATGCCAATACGGGCGATTCACAATAGTGCACCACCAAGAGTTTGCAACTCGTTGACCAATCACAATGCGCAAAATCTGTCGACCCTCTCAAAACGCGCATTGGGTCGACAGATGGGTCATCGCATTGCAAACTCTTGCAGGTGCATTATTGTGAATCGCCCGTATTCTAAATTTTCGTCGAAACTTATTGACAGGTCTTTGTTTTTTTTTTCATCCAGGCGCCCTCTACGATGCCATCGAAAGCTATTCTGTTTTGTTCTACTTTTTCGCGGGGATTTTCTTCACTGGATTTGTTGGCATGCTTTTCACACCCCTCCTCAAGAGAATTGAGCCCGGTGTCAGGACAAAGGGGAACGCAACAAATATCTAGAAGGGCACCACAGCAATCACAGGAACCGTGCATTTCATCAAGACGCGAACGAACTGTAAGAATTAAGTTTACACGCTTTATACAGTGCGCAGTTTTACGTTTGGGTAATGAAGGATGGACTTCTTCTTCTTTCGAGAATGTTTCTGTGGAACAATGTACATGTACGTCAACTTTTGTAATCTTTTTTCTCTTGCTCATTGCATATTTACAGAAGCATATCTAGGACATGACTACAAAAAGTTTCACCCACTCTTTTGCTGGGGCGGATTACTGTTCCGTCCGGGTGAATACGGGCGATTCACAACTGTTCGCCTCCAAACTTTTGCAACGCGATGGCCAATCACAAAGCACGAAATCTGTCGACCCTTTCCAAACGGGTGGAGAGATTTCGCGCGTTGTGATTGGCCAACGCTTTGTAAACTTTTGGAGCCGTACTACATGTATTGGGAATCGCCCGTATTAGGATGGCAAAAAGAATTTTTTTTTAATTTATGTCCTACATACGCCTCAGTACATATTTAATAAGATGTATCATTATTTGATTTTAAAATAAGTTATCTTTTTGGTAAATATTTGTCGAAAAGATTACATGTACAGAATATTGAATGTTTTGAAAGATAACGTTAACTTTCAAAAGCCCTTTGACAGTGACGAAATAAAATCAAAATATCAGGATGTCCTTTTTGTTTCCATTTTATGAAAGATAGGTCATTCTTTACACCTTACAGCACAAACAAGAAAGACAAGTACGCGCATACAGCGAGTAGCTTAAATATTCAAATACTAACATCAAATCAAAATTCTCTGACAATACATGTATTAGGCAGAAACGTATATAGTGATTGTGCGGAGATTACTGTGGTGTGTAATATTTCTTTCATCAAATGCTTTTTACCAACATTCATTTTAACCTGTTTATTTTCTGATCCTTAGAATTCTACGTAAAGAGAATTGAAAGGCTTTCGGGACGAATTGAAAAATTCCCCTCAGATGACGAGCGATTATGATCAGCTAGGAACTTATGATAAACTAGAGGCAAAATAATCGGAACGACACAAAGTTTACTAGTTATGTTAACCTGTGCAACGGGAATACTTTTATAAGAAATGCTTGAATCCATCAAAGTCAAAGGGATGACAGGCATGGGGTTGATCTCTCTCCTCATCTTTCAATACCGTTCAACTTTTGGTTGTGAAGAACAAATTACTCTTACACTGATCAAAAGATATTCATCCCGCTTGGAAAAATGAAGTATTTCCATAAATACATGTATTTGTTAAAAAAAATCCCTGCAGATAGGTCCGTTTCAATTTGAATTTTTCCGGCGAAAGAAGTCATATTTTTCGGTTGCAAACATCCATGATGCCCACAGGACTTCCAAAGAACACTTTCAGTGTCATTTCTTTGTGACTTCCTGGAGCCAATTTTCAGGTTGTCCGTAAGGTTTCCAAAACTCATGAGGGTTCTCCTCTGGGGAAAAAGTCACTTCCGTGTTTTTAATTTCGCCCAGAAACTCCAAAGAATTCTCAGCTTCACTGGAAAATTCAATGCCTTGTTCTTGATTCCATCTGAACTTCCACAATGGAATCCCTTTCTGACGTGCCAATCATTAACAACAGTTCTTCATAAAAATTTGTCCAAAGTAGGCAGCTTGGGTAGCGATTTGCTCACACTTGGCCTCTTTGCAGCAGACTGTGGTCGTTTCTTCACCAGTTTGTTGACGCCGGATGGCTTAATGAATGATCCCTTTGAGCAGCAAGTTAAGGGTAACATCCATTACTTCTGGAATAAAGACTCTGGCTCATTGTCTGAAGCGCTGAGCTCGAGATCATGCACTTAGGCAGGACACTTGTTGCATGACTTTTCCCCAACTGAAGGGAAAATAAGTGAGTATGAGGGCAGGGGTGGGTTTGTGATCAAAATTGCAGCATTCTCTGTCAGACATAACTGTTCTGGTATTTAGGGGCAGATCCATGACCTTTGAGGGTCAAAGTGCCAAGAATTCAGTAGTAAAGTAACACTAGAATCAATAAAAATTCAGCCACGTGGGCGGTTGGGGGGAACACAGCCAGCCCCCCTCTCCTCCTCTAAATCTATCATTGATATCAGTACTTCAAGAACAAAATATTCTGGTCACGTCTAACAAATGTCCCGGTCAATTAGGGTAAATGCGAAAAGGATACATGGCCACCAAGTCCATTGTAGCCATTGCGTAGATTACTCCCTGTGTCTTGCAAAGGTCGTCGATTGCCAAAGAGACTTGAGTTGGCCATAGCTGATACCACCCTGCTATCAGACTCCTCTGAGCTCTGGCTCTTGAACTGGCAAGTTTAATAAACGACAAATAAAACCTGGAGATTAACGTTTGTTGTAAGGTGAATGGGCGTGGCTTTTTCTCTTTTATCACTCACTCTTCAGGTCAATCATTCATCAATACAAACTAAGCAGGTGTTTCCAAATGAGAGAGGAAAGGGTCAAATTAACTCCAGAAACTCTTACTGTTTTCTCGACTTAAGAATTCAACCCAATCCAGGTTCCTGATAGACTAAATGGGTACTTTTTCCACAATGCATTCCTGGGTGCTACATGAGGCTTTGAAATTAGCAAGCCAAGAAGTTAAGCCTATGCACACACTCAATTGAAAAGTAACCAATAAGACATTTCAGACATGAGCAAAGTGGACATTTAGCAGATTTGCTTTAGGTTTGTTCATGGAGATTTTGGGAGTTGGGGAACTGATTGATAAGATTGCCAATATGTGCCCCGAGCTGGACCAATAGATGGCGCAATTTTCCTAGCAATGGAGGCTCCTTTGGTCAGAACTGCACTTTACTGGTTCACAAATGACTATGAAATGCACGCATAATGGTCGTGTAGCTACCAACAAAATGAACACTCCTGACCAACATGGCTCTTTTCATCCAATGAGGGGGTGCTTCTGCTTAAGGCGGATTGCTCCATATCCATATTGCTCCCTCTATACCTTCTTATTTTTGTGAGCCAGTGATGTCGTCTTCACGTAGGGTAGATCAAACTCGCGGCACTCTTTTTTAGCCAGTACGCTGGGGCTGGGTTCGCTGGCAAAGCTCGGTGTGCTTGGGTTGCCTGGAATTGGTGGGATGCTGTCATCAAGGTTAATATCCTTGCCATTCTCTGGTGTGCTGAGTTTGGGCGTCTTGAACTGGCACGGGGCGGGGCTAGGGGGGCAGGGTACAAGAAAATGATTTTCCCAGTGAAGCGCACCAGACCAAACCACAGTTGAATGAAAACTTAGAAGGGGATTCCTAGATGAATGTCACTGTTACAAACTAACTAAATCCAGCAAGCTGAAACTAGGCTGTGTCTGAATCTTATGGCAAGGGCTAGGTCTAGGACGTGGCTAGTTGCAAACACATAGATACATTCTTACAATAGACATAGCCATAGCTCTGGTAGCCCTTTTCAAACATGACTTCCAATCCATTACTAAGGCAGGTGCCATGCTTGCATGTAGGTCAATGCTCAATGCCTGTTTGTAGACAAACAGAAGGTGTGTATCTCACTATCACATGCTGTTTAGAAGCAACCTGTGTTCCAGTGCAGTGGTACCTGGTACATGCATATTAAAAATGCTTGTATTTGAAGAGGGCCAGATTCGTGCAAGACCACTGTTTTGAGATGTCTCCTTGAAAGGTTCTCACCTCTCCATGATGAGCCTGGTGAGGGCGCTCTTGCTGGCTCCACCGGGAGAATCCACTGATGGCTGCAGGTTGGCCAGTCTGTTCTTTAGCGTCTGCTTCTCCTTCACAGCACACTGCAGATCCTCTTCTACACCCCTCAGCGCGCTGTGGGCATGTTCCAACTCTTGGCTCGTCTTCATGAGCTGCAGAAAAATAACCAATTTTGGGGGTGCTTTGCTTTGTTTACTTTGACTTCAAACAAACTTGGAGCTCAACTCACAAGAGGCAGTATGTGGCAAGTTATCTCCTCAATAGAGTTTTAGAAAAATATATTAAACTGCTCAAGCTGGACCTATGGTGGAGCTTTCGTCCATTTAGAACCTACATTCTTTGTGCACACTGATAACTTCCTTTTCATTTCGTCTAGTTCCTCCTTCAACTGACTCCTTTTCAATTTGTTGTTTTCAAACTCCCTGCAAGACAGCAAACAAAAATCACAGGTGGGTAAGCACCTCGCTGATGTTAGTAATTAGGTAATATTGATATATATTGAGAATATCAGATTTGGGGGAAATATCCAAAATATTGATATAAAAAACCGATATATCGGCATCGGCCAAAATACCATATCGGCGGTGCCTAATGGTGGGATTAGAGGCCTATTCCTCGGGGCACAAATCTGAAACATCTCCCTCCGTGTCAACCATGAAGTGCTAAAGAATGGGCTTCGTACCTCTTGAGCGTTACACAGTATGTTGCCAGTTCCTTGGCTGCCCTGGGGCCATCTCCGTACTCGCTGATTAGGGATTCAGTTGCCTCGGCATTGTCAGTAAGAACACGCTGAAGTCTGTGATAGGAATATCAAGAAGAGTACAAATTATGGCCTGGGGAAAATCGTCAATAGATCTAAAGATGTGAGGAACTCTGTGAAATGTGAGAGACACTTCTTGGAGAGAGTCTTGACAACAAAGGATCAGATCAGTCAAAAACTGGCAAAGACTAGAACCAAGAGTGGGGCTCCCCATTCTAAAGCTAAGAAATGTTAAACCAAAACAGGGAGCTTTGGTTTGGCAAGATAAGTTCAGAACTTTTCAACATCTCTGTTTGGCACTAAAATTCTTGTCAAATCTAGCACGATCAGATTACAAACAAAGCCCCCCTGAATATGGCTTAAGACAATATAAAGGCACAAAAGCTGGGTTTATTTCTACAAGTCTCAAACCTTTCAAGAAGCTGAAGTTTTTCTCGGAGCCTCTTGCTTTCCTTCTTCGCCTGCTTTGCCTCATCTATCTGGTAGGAGAGAAGCGACAACTGCTTCTGTATTGTCAAAATTCAAAGAGATAAAACTCTTGTTAATCTTTACAAGAAAAAAACCAGGGGCTGACCTCTGCATTGCAACAGACTGGAATATACAACGACCTTGTTGTGTTAAAAATGACAATTTTGCTACAATCAGCCTCAGTATCTTTGGAATACTGGAAAACAGTGCAAATGAGTTTAAGTTTTAACAGGAAACATACAGTGGATATTCAACTCAACTTGTTCCTTTAAAATGCAAAGATAACAACAGATATCATGCTGCTATCATGTGGTGCATCTTACAATTTGCTCCAAGTGGAATCAGCTGACCTGGGTTTTGCATCCTTCAGTGCACTCCGTATTTGATCCAACTTAGCTAAGCAAGTCATAGGATCGCCAGAGCTACATCTGAGCAAAAAAGGCCTTCCAAAGAATCTTCTGTGACGCATATCACAACCTCACTTTTTTCACTGACACTAACAACACCAAAGTCTATTTCAGTAGGATGCCAATTCAGTGATACATTGAAACAAGAGCTCAGTTTACTGTCTAGTGTAAAGTAAAATGAAAGTACTTACCAAAAAAAGGCTTAAAGATTCATTTTGTAGGATCTAGTCACATAAGAAGAAACTAACATGTCTGGCTGATCGGACAAGACATTACAATGACTGACTTCCTTACCTTCAGAGCGTCTGATGTAGTCTGTTCAGCTTGAAGATTGTGTATGAGGTCTTTGACTTTCTTGTTCAGTCCTCGAATGGTACTGGAGTGACGTTCATTTTCCTCAGTGAGAGCCTGCTTTGTGGAATCACGTTTCTTCAGTTCAGCCTGTAAGGAACTCAGTTCATTCTACGAAGGAAAAGAAAAATCTACTGCTTCATCAAATTATGTGTTGGGCAAAGTGTGAATTGAAAACCAGCCAGAAGTACAAAGTGTCTGCCGCATGTTTCTTTTCTCAACAGCTGTGGAAAATTGAAGTCAAGATAGATACATATATTATGTAATCAGGGTAGGAACTTTACAAAGGCATCCCCTGATGCCTTGATGCCCACTGGAATGTTCCTAATATTCAAATGCTCTTTCTGAAAGAGAAATTGCTTGCCCCCTTCAACAATGAAATTCCTGCCCTGGTGTAGTTTTGTGAACTTGGACGACCCCACTGATTAAACTGACCTTTAGCTTGCTGGGGTCAACATCACTACTGTCGGATCCAGCCTCAAAAAACAGCCGTATGAGTGTCCTTCCTGAAGCCGTGTGTCGACACTGAGGGCATGTTTTAGAGCTGGATAACCATTTCTGTATACTTCAAAATGAGATAATCAAAGGAACTGTCACAAGGCACAACTTTAACATTAAAATCCACCTGAGCCTGGTGGCATGAATTCAACAATAAAAACCCACTCGAGGCCGAATGCCGTCTGTAGGCATGTGAGACATACTGCGTCAGAAGGACTCATGGAAGTAGTCATGATAGTATGCTAAACGCTATTGAGATGTCATGAAAAATCGAACCAATATTTTGACGGAATTGCAAAAAAACAGGCACTAGCCTACTGATGATCTCGATATCATGCCTAACAGAACTGTTGGAAATATTTTGGAGATTCAAGGGAGCATTTCAGCACCTCAACCTAGCAACCATTATCTTAAGCTGATGTGGCTGTAACTTGAGTTACATTGCTGTTTGACAAATGTCTTTGACTCAACTTACCATTCCTCGTGGAAAGTGTGACCACAAGGACAAGCTGACACCACCACTCCCCCTTCGAAATGATCATGGCAAATAATACAACAAGCGTTTATCATCTTTGCCAATCATTCAGATGGGAGCCAATTCCGTGGCTCTTCTTCAATCAAGAGTCGAAAGGCTGATTAACAGACATCCAGATCTGGAAATGAAGCAGTTTTCAAAAGAGTTCCAACATGAAAAATTTTATTTTCATAATCTAGGCCTATGCCTTGCATGATTGGTTGTAAAAAAAATAATAACTACACAATAGTCAATAGACCTATTCTAGTCATAAGTATTAGTATTATTCTCTGTAGAAACACCTTTTCACGAGGTAAACTAATTTGGGAGGAAAATTTACTCAAACAATCATGAAACTTCGAAGTTTGTGAATATCTTCGTCCCAAATCAATAATGCAACACTGTGTCAGAAGAGGATGGCTTGAATTGGAGTATGAAATAAAATGGAAACAGATTAACGTTTTGAAGGTACACTTCTCCCGTAGGGTTGTGCGCAAAATGCATTGCTTTTATGTCATCCAAACCCACAATGCATTGCGAACGTCGAAAGGGTTTATTTTCTGATATCAGAAAACACAACTCATCACTCATAATTCATTACGAAAGTTCATTAAGAAATGAACCGGTTGTACTGACAAAAAGAATTGTAGGCCCACTTACATGACTTACATGTACATACATATGTAGGCCTAATGCACGGCATTCGTGACGCAATCAAATATGATGGTGACTTCAAATATGGCGCCGGTTGGACCGCCAGATGTTCCTCTGGCAACAGAGGGCGCTGTGAACGATAGCACAGTAACAGGGATTTTGGGAGCCTTTGGAAAAATGTAGTCACCTAAATATTCACCCAAAATCAAATAAATATAGTGTTGAAGGTAGAAGTGTACTTTTATCCTTTTTAAAGGGTATACATGTATGTATATCAATGCAAACAGGGTTGGAGCTGAGACCTGAAACTAGGGCCATATTCGATGCTCCACCATCGGCCTAGGCCTACAACAAAGTGTTCCGCTGGCCCTATTCACAGCGCTTGGCACAGCACCAACTGCCGATGAGGTGTGGCCAGTTCCGTCTTTCAGAGCATGAAATAAATGACAGGAATTTTCCTGGCTTCTTTCCAAATATGTACACATAAATTCAGAAAAACGTAATTAAAACTGGCCTAAGCATCTCCCCCCCTCCTTTTTTAACTGAATTTCCACGAATACTAGAAGCAAAACCAAATTGTTACCCCAAGTAGTAATAAGAAAAAAGGATTCAGGACGTGGCATTTCAAACCAAAGGTTTCAAAATATATGTTTAAGAAATGGAAATGAGATTTTGGGTTTTTACACATGGAAATCTTAAGACTACAAGGGGTCCATCAAAATCATTTTTGTGTTCAAAATCCTCGTGTGAGGTCCACCATTACGGTCGTTTGTTAGTTAATTGGTGTTGGTTAACTATGCTCCCTGAGGGTCTAATAAAACTGGAGAAATGACATTAAAGCCGAACACTGTTATAAATAAGGTCGTTGGGACCTTAAAATTGCTTGTTTTTACGGTAACCTCGTGTACTGAAAAAAATACAGAGACTTAAGGACCTAAAAGTGGAAACGTTATCTTGTTTTTAAGCAGGATACTAACACCGAGTGCTCTTAATGGTGTCCTAAAGTCCTTCGTTACGTTTGTAATGATCTCTAGAGGGGAGGTCACCCTCTCTAATTACCAATTAACTGCATATCTCAGTCCCTAAACATGCAGGCCTCAAAGGTTATAGCGAAATAATTGCCACTCATTACGTGTGCGGTGCGGCCTGTGTCGCTTTGGAACAAAACCGTCTTGATCTTGAGCGAGCTCTAGCAGAACAAACCAATGTCAAGACGGCTGGTGTAGCTTTCTGTTATACAGCGGACTCTTCATAAAATTTTGTTCAAACATGGCGCGACGAAGCTCTGCAGGTCTACATACAGGGTTGCAGTCAGGGTTGATGTCTGCTTTGATTCCTATCCTGTGCTGTTTTGTGAAACCCGGTAAGGCTTTGTTTTTTTTTCTGATTTCAAAGACAACAGCAACGGCGGTGGAACTGCAACGGGGGCAAGTGATGAGACCTCAGCCCATTATAGCCTGCAAGACCTGGGGGAGGGCATGCCCTCAGTCGATAAAGTAGAGGGCCACTGCCCCCACCCCCCGTTCCGCCGCCAGTGATCTCAAGCCGAATACCAAATTCACTTTCCACCTAAAGCCTGGTTCAAACTTCACGCGGAAGTGAATGCGAAGTGAATTTCATGACACTGCAGTTCGATTTTGAGGTGTGCCGTTTCCCTGACAAAATTGGCATCGCTTTCGCCTGAAGTATGAACCGGCCCTAAGCCTTACCAGGATCGTGACTGTTGGACTCCCAGATGAGATTTGCAGCTTTTCATGGATCAGGTAGCAAGTAAAGGTTTGCGGTAACACCATGGATATCTCTTTTGAGCATGTTGGGAGTTCAAAACCAGTCTTGAAGACTGGAGATATATCCATGGTGCAACTGCAAACCTATCTAGTTACTTGTTGGAATCCTGTTTAGTTTTGGTGTGCCCAAGACAGCTGGCTGAAACATACCATGTCAGCAATACAAGGGTACTATTCTAGGTGTTAAAATCATACAGAAAGTCGATATTTGATGATAAGTGTCGGTTTAGAACTTTTTATGTAGTTTTAAAGAAACCCGAACAAAGTATATTATCTTTTCGTCTTAAAATGAACCATGAAAGACCATGGAAGGCCGTAAAATGCTTGAAGGTGCAAGAGTTTACGTTTACACACTATTGTTAATTAAAGTTCCTATAATAAAGTAACATTACAAATCCAAAGTCAATAGTTTACAATCCGCCCTGAGTTGAGGTGCACCCTCACCGGGTGAAGAAAGACAGACTGGTACGAAGTTTTCTGCATGCGTTCAGCACGCACCCGAAGCCTATATATCCAGATACGCTGAGCACGCTGAATGGCTCGCTGAAGTCCTATGCGGTGAATTCGCACTATTGATTGCCATTATGCCTTTATAATGGAGATAAATGGTTCGTACCAAAGGACTGCCGTGGTCAATTTCATTTGAAAACACGCCCTCTTTTGTTCCCACTTGGAGCTGATAATGCCAGCTGTCAAGCATCTAGTGCGATTGTTACATTTTTTTCTGTTATAATTATATTATTTCTTCACTGCTTAAAAGTTGTTTTCTTCACAGTTTAAACTGCTTTGTTTTAGAGCTATCATAGAGTCCACCAGGAAAAAATTTACTTTGATTGATTTTGGTACGGTGCAAAATAGAACATTTTTCTGCAATGATCATGTCTGGTCCTAAGGCAGCTAACAATCAAGTAACATTATGCGTGGTCATACGTCACACATCGTTAATACTTCTTTAACCTCATGTATTTTATTTTCAGTGGGGTCAGTTCCCATACATGCCATAGAAGATCTTTGCCCGCTTTATGACCAGACTCACTGCGCATCGAATTGTGGTGATTACTTTCTTAACAACCGTGGGCTATATGAAGAAAGGAGAAGTTGTCATTGTGACACCAACTGTGTCCTGTATGGTGACTGCTGCATCGATTATTTAGACCACTGTACCAACGACGCAAACCTCTCAACGAACCTCTACAATCTCTCGCCTCGTGTGGTTTGCGTTTCACCTTATGACCCGGGCAACGCCATCAAGTATCTTGCTGTTGGACGCTGCCCGCCAGAGTGGCCCATGGATGAAGTCAGACAAAACTGCGAAAACGAGACGTTAGCGCTTTCTCAAAGATTCCTGACACTCCCTGTAAACGGACCGAAGGATCTTGTCTTCAAGAACGTGTACTGCGCCCTCTGTCATCACATCACCGATCCCGCACCGTGGAATATCTTGCTGTGGAACTGTGAGCCAGCAGCAAGTGAAACCGCGCAAGTCAATAATGGTGGCGAGCCCAATTACGACACCTGCCGAGGCATAAAGACATTAACCCCCTTTTCAATGCTGACGAAACCACACCGCTGCTACGGAAATTTCATCAACAGTTGTCCTGAAACCTCAAATGTAACGCAAACGCAGGCCACGTTTTGTGGCAACTATACGTCTCTTCTTTTCAACATTTACAATGGTGAGTTGGGTGCAACATACCAAAATCAGCACTGTGCATTTTGCAACGGCGTGTCTTTACAGAAACTTACAGACGTAACTCACTTCACATGCATAGCCCCCGAAGAAAGACATTTAAACCCAGTGGTTTCATTCACACTCCTATTCGATTTTACCACGAATTCGGTGCAGAGCCTGAAGACGCACGCTTTGTTTGGCTCCAGCCTGCACGAGACGGTTGGCGAGTGCCGATCTTGGCAGCAATACGACCCGTTTACTGGCATATGCAGGAACATGACCTGCCCCATTGGTAGCGTGTTGCAGATGGGTCAATGTGTGGAGTCGAAAGCCCGAATAACCAACAAGTCATCGAGTGACTGCTTGCTTCAACTGCTGTCGTCACTCAAACTTGAAAATGTTTCAAGCTACTTTGAAGAAGATCTATTCGGCCAGGCCAGAATCTTCGTTGATTTGTCCGCAGAGACACACGCCCAAGGCGCGTTAGACCGAATCTCCAGGAACCTGACCCTCTCGTGCAGTGAAACAACGTCTTTGCTTCTAGTAGCTTCCTGGGCTGGTGGCAATGTATCTAGTCGGGGGTTGGTTTGTGACGGATTCACCAAGCCTGACGTGGACATCAGCCAGCTTGGTTTCGCTGATGATGCTTTCTACGTCAACATCAGTGGCTACGTATACACGCAGACTGAGTTTATTCACGTTTCAAAATATGAGATCTTCAATGGGACACTCTCGAGGAATACGTTCTTGATTTTATGCGACCCTTTCATTGGGAAGGGCTGCCCAGTTCTCGCTTTCAACCGGAGTGAATTTGTCGTGTCTAGAGTCGGCACACAAGTCATCTTTACTCATAAGGCTTCCGGTAGCTCCTTCAATGAAAGTGATGTTTGGCAGCTACCAGACGACAGCCTTAAAGTATGCAATTTTCTTTCTGGTTCACACACAGTTGCTTATCCAACTTGGCTCACAACACTCTCGGATGTGAGTTTTGCCGGCACTGTTATATCACTGGTTGTCCTACTCGCTACGTTGATAACCTATTTGCGGTTCACAGTTTTGAGAAACCTACCTGGTTACATCGTCACGAATCTCGTTGTTGCTTTAATTTTGGCTCAGGTTGTTTTAGTGGCTGGCAATACCTCAATTCGCTGGTTGTGTGTGACACGAGGTGTTATGTTACACTTTGCCTGGCTGGCCGTCTTCATGTGGATGAGTATATTGGCGGGAAATTTGGCATATAGAATTCGTTCAGCGAGGCCTCCGGCCCTACAAATGGGCCACAGTTGGCACAAAGTCATTAGGCTCTGTTTTATGGGGTGGAGTTTTCCCGCTTTATTTGTGGCTGTCTGTTTCTCAGGGTCGCGGTTGGGTTTTTTCCGTCTCTCGTATGGTGGGAAGCAATGTTGGATTGTCGACCCTACTCATGCCTTGTTCGTGTTTGGTATCCCGCTGTCTGTTCTTCTTCTCATCAACTGTTTCTTTCAAGTCGTCATGATCTACACGGTGACTGGAAATCAGAGAAGGCTGGTTTCTGCCAGAGTAGCGACGGATGGAAAAGCCCATGTCGTACTCTGTATCAAGGTAAGAAAACTCGTTCATATATCAGGTGTCCGATAAAAGAAAGGCACATGTTTGCCTCCATCACAAAGGAGTGAGGACAAAGGCAACTCTATCTTTTCCACTTTACTGGAACCTGCAGATAGTTTCAGTGTACAACTTCGCCTGTTATTTAACAAGTAATTTATTACTATTCTTGAAAAAAATAACTATTGTCTGTCTGAAACAGGATCCTCGTAAATTAGAGCCTATACCTTATTTATGCACTCTAGTCGTAGGCCCTGCTTGAGAACTAAGAAAAACTTGACGGCGTAAGTATCGCGAGTTTGACAATTATCATTGCACAACATGTCGGTAACAGTATTCATATCCAACAATGAATGAGTTACGAGAAAAAAGCCTCACTTTGGGCACTTTAGTCCACGTCTGTGTCATTTTTCATACCAATAGTGCACTTTCTTCGCATTTAAGTCTGGTTCCTAGACCAAAGGATCATGTCGAATTAGAGGACATGCAGGCTGTGACTTCAACCGGTATCGACGCACGTAGGCCTGTACTCAGGGAAAGTGGTTGCAGTTGTTATATCCAGTGGCTATCAAAGGTGCACCTGTGATATCAAGCCGTAGCCATAATTTGGGGCGCTGCCTTTGTGACAAGTGAACGGCTACTCGAACGTGACGAGCTATGCATGGACATAGTAGAGCGTTGATATTCCTCTTTTTCGATTTTGGACGGGATCAGTCCCCGGTTAGTGTGACCGGTCCCGTCTAAAACCGAAAAAGAGGAATTCCAACGCCCCACTTGCACATTTCTGCTTGGTTCCTAAAAGTCTGATCTTGCTCTTTCTTGGTGCTTTGTTTCACTAGTTTCAGCAATGACCTTTTGCTGATAGCTCGTCGATTTTCCCTGGTAAACCGTGCACAGCTGATATTTTGTCCTTGTTCCGGGTCAAAATCGACCAGTGGTTGACAAAATGACCGGCACCTCGAACCTGCCCCATTGCACGTAAAAATAAATGTAGGTCCAATCCTTGATATTATTATTCTTCGATTTTATGAACATCCTCTTCCACAGCTGATGGTTGTGACTGGCGTGACCTGGTTCCTCTTCCTCGCGGCCAACTTGATTGACGCCGTCATTGTCTGGTATCTGGCCGTCTTCGTCAATTCCCTACAGGGCGTCTTCATCGGCTTAACGTTCCTGCTGAAGGAAAACGTGAGGGCGCTGTGGCGGCAGCAGTGGCTGGCGCTTCGCTCCTGGCGGTGCCAATGTCGTCGAAACATGGCAGATGACCAACAGCCGGGCACCGCGAACACCAGCCCCCAGCTGCTACCTTTGAGGGAGGTGCAACTTCCGTATTCGATCGCGAGAGCTGTAGAGGACAGCGGTTTGCCCAAGTAAAGATTTCTAGCATTGAAACTCAATTCTGAAGTCGTCGATGGTAGCTGAACTTAACTTATAAAAAGATCCTTCTAAGAACGAAGTTGAAGCAAGAGTTTCGAGCACTGCTGGTCTTTTCGTTCTGTGTGGGTCGTTAGGGTACTACATTGACTTGGATACCTTTTGTTGTGAACTTGTACAATGCCTATATCACTTAGGTCACTGTAAAACCTATGTGAGTAGCGTGTTAATGAGCGTGTTGACGATGATGAAAATCTACCAAACACACGTAATTCCGAATCGTTAAACTACTTCACTTTTGTGTTCATTTCAGCGCGTTTGTATTCCTACCAGTCCTTAAAAGGATTGAAAGGTCAGCAACACCTACGATGGCCTTACTAAAAGCAAACTATAGTGAGGAAAAATTCAACGTGATTGGATGCTTTTAAAAATGAAACGTGGCTACCCTGTTGCACATCGTTGTTCGTTTTACCTTATACCTTTCACCTGTACGTAGACCTACGTAGATTATGACACCGACAGTTCAAATCGAACTAAGCTTTCATTGAGACGGTATGTTACATTAATTAGTGTTGTTTTAAATGTGACAGTATAAGTTGATACAATTGGTTGTTAAAAAAGCCAGGGGCTGAATGCGCCCCCGACATTTTCCGATATTGCCCTAGTGAATTTTTGAGGACTTTGAAAGTAAGTCTTTGCTGTCATTTTGACACCATTTTTGCAAACATGGAACATACTGTTCTCAGGAAAGCTGTATTTTTACGAGACGGGCCAGCCCCAAAATTATGCTTTATCCACTGTAGTGTTCAATGCACGCGTACTGGTACGCAAGTAGCCATGAACTACACAATCGTAATGATTAGGAGTGTCTTTACATGCATGACAAATTTTAAAAATCGACTGTGTGACTCGTATAGTGTGAAAGTGTAAATGTTGAATTTATAAAATCATGTAGTCAGATTACTCCCAAGTCTCCGTCAGTGATGGAGGTCGCGAGACTGGTCTTGAAACCACTTTTTGCTGGTCTCGGGAGCTGTGGTCTCGGTCTCGTTCCCTATGGTCTCGAGTCGAGACCGGCAATATGTAACATTTGACGATTGATTACTTTACTTTAATCTGTCATGTTTGTATTTTCTTCAGTACCGTAGATAAAAGGTGTTAATTTTATTCGCTTTTTTCGATATAGTTGATAGTTCAAACATTTGTTAGCCCGCTGATCCAGTCAACCTTGCTAATGAATTGTTACATGTATATATCGTGGTTCGTTTGGACTGCACGTTGGAAAGTACATGTAAAGACGCCGTAATACCAGTCATGCAGAGAAAAGAAGCGTATCCAGTGCAGGCGCGTTGGTGATTCTTTGCAACGTGCAGTTTGCACCAGAAAAAAGTTACGACTCATGAGGTTATCAACGTGAACTACATGCAGCCGCGAGCTATAAGCGCGACATGACATGTAAATGCACATCTGTGAATCGAAAAACTGCAATCCTGTCTAGCAAATCTGCTGTGATAAAGTTCGGGTGCAGGGACCACAAAGAGTATAGAAGGAATGGACAACACTGTGTGTGCATATTCTGTCACGGGATGAACGCGAATATCCAAACGATGTGGAACAAATTGTGCATTTTACTCGACATTTGAGTCGGGTACATAAAGCAAGTAGGCAAAATTTATGCAAACAAGGCCCGTGTTCCATAATTTTCCACTTAAAATTAGTCTATGGAAACAGTTTCATAAAGTGTGTATAGACGGATGGGGGGTTCCAAGAAGCAGTGCCTCGAGTGGGGGTCCCCAGTTTATACGAATAAACAAAGTTCCACAAAGACAACAACACACAAACAATTTATAAATAACACAACAAATATTAGATACAGCACATGCACACGATCCTTTCGGGGATTTGTCTAGCTTAGCCCACCCCTTGGTCTTATTCACTTGTATTTTTGTCATGTATGTGTTCGTAAAATTAATGAGGTTCTCCAAATTAGTGATATTTTTGACCCCACACAATCTTCGTTTTAATTTGGGACAGTATTTTGAAGAAAAGGGAAATTTCCGTACCTGATTTTCCATTCCGCAATGAATTCACGGAAAGATTTCCATATAACTCATAAGACTTGCACTTGACACCTTGTGTACAAACCCTATGACACTGGCCTGGAAAATTCGAAGCGTCCTTATTGAAAATGATCGTATTTTTCTCACTGCTAACATTGACTTTAATGGCATGTAATTGATTCTGGGGACTGATTAGTTACTAAAGAGGAAAATAAGTGCAAGTCTTATATGGAAATCTTTCCGAATTCACAGTCTTTCCAGCTAGGCCCTACCACTGACTTTTGCCATTAGAGTGTATGATGAGACTCCATTTTCTGGCTGCTGGTATGAAGTACCCCATTATTCCTCAAAAATCAAAATCTTGGTCAGAAAAGATGAAAATCTGGCTACCATCTTCAACTTTTACGTCTACATGTGCAATTCTATACAGGCCAATTCCAACTTCCACAACCGTTATAAAAAGTATTTAAATATTTTGAAAGAAATTAAGTCCTCTTTTTGTTAAAAAAAAGAGAGACCAATAAAACATGAAATTGCATCACCTCATAGATATACCTTTGCAGTCATAGCTGAAACCAAGGGGTGACTGCGAAGTTTAGAATCCAAGTTCTTATAACAGATGACACATCTACCTTCAACGTTTTACTTCCGACATGGAAGAATCATCATGAACCACATCGGGCAATACTGGGCACAGATCAAAACTGATATTCCTAAAGCGTGACCACTTTTTGCTCAAGTGACATGTCACGTGTATATGTCAATTGTCAACACGGCTACTGGTCATTTTGTCTGCGATCATCCTGAATAAAAGGTGACCACTTACAACTGCAGTTTTGTGTCTCGTTTATTTATTTCTAGTCTTGTTTTTTCCTCGGTCTTGGACCACATCCGTCTCGGTCCACTTTGAAGGGGTTGGTCCACGTCTCGGAACTTCAGGTCTCTGTCTTGGTCTCGGATTGTCCGGTTTTGACTACAACACTGGTCTCCGTAGCCGAACAAATTCCATCACATTAGGAGCAATAGTCGGGCCCATGATTTTATGGTTACAAGGACAGATTAGGAAGGTAATGAATACGCATATTCAGCATTCAACAAATCTCAAACATGACAAGAAATTCTTGACACAAATGCATATGCAAGCAGTTGTCAATTTTTAATTGCGCTACATGTTAACAAGCCCGAACACCATCAGTAAAACACTACCAATACCTCTACGACCCGTAGTAATGGAAAAATTATTTCTCGATTTAAGCAAAGTGATGAACAAATACGTTTCACAATAGTGCGCCTCCAAGAGTTGGCAACGTATTGGCAAATTACAATGCGCGAAATCTGTCGACGCGTTTGGTAAGGGTCGACCACTGATCTTTAAACACTAGATAGGCAGCTCTGCTCTCCGAATTGAAGTGCCTGCAAGGCCATCTTAGGCTTTTCGATACAATGGTATTTTCCAAGTCACTGGCTTTAGCGCTGTGCATGAATACACTGAGTGAACTTGAGACTGAAGTTAGAGGCCATTGTATTGAATATCTGTAGATGGCCGCGCGGTCACTTCAATTCACACATAGGAAGTTAATGCTGAGCAGCAGAGCCGACAGATTTCGCACGTTGTGATTGGCCAACGCGTTAAAAACACTTGCAGGCGCTCTATTGTGAATCGCCCGTATTACCAAACTTCAAATAATGACAGTAAACAATACATTTATTTAAAGAGCTGTATGCTCTTGAAGTGATGGTCGAGCTCGGGCGGCCAGTTCTTGACACGGGTTTCTTGTTCTCGCGCTCGAATGGCGGGAACACGACCCAAGAAAACTGTTCTCGGAACAGAATTACGCACCACCTCCTCGTCAGGGTTTTACGGGAACACACAGAAAAACTCGTGAGATTTGATTGTTGATCAGCCGCAAAAATAGCAAGATGGCTTACAAAGTCGGAGACAATGGGAAGTTTTGCAAATTATCTTAGTAATAATTTTCCATCACACAGAAATGAATGTTCCTTTTTAAATAGAAAGAATTCGGACGCCGCCATTTTGCTTGTACGTGTAGTACTACTACGAGCGATAACTGTTCGTAAACACACACGATCTGGAACAAGCCGCCCGAACTCGACCATAGTTATCAAACTATTGCTAAACAAAGAGCGCCCTCAATAAAACCTCCTTGCGAGTTGTCTCTATAATGAGAGAGAGAAAAAGGAATCTTTGAATGCAACACTAAGGTGGCCTTTTGGTCAGTTAAAACTACAGATTTTTTCCCCCAAAAGATAGGACATAAATGTATAAATGTAGTCTGCGAGAAGGTAAACCTAGCAGTCTTTTTCTTAACCCAATGTTCACATTAATCTATTTGTTTGTCCTGATTGGTTCCGAACCAGTGTCACTAAGGCTTTGCCGACTCAGCGTCAAAAAGCTCTTCGCCTTCTGCCTACTGACTGTCCATTCAGTGAACTTATACATTGAAATTTTCATTAATCAAATAAAAGCCCAATTCCTACGATAGGTAGTTCAAGACCTTATCCCTCCATCTTAGCAAAAGCCAATTAAACCTGCAGAAAATAAGTAAAGTCAGTCCTGAAGCAACATTGTGGTCTCACCGACGCTATAATGCAATGCAATTTCTTTTCTTCAATCAGGTGGCGAGAGGCTAAAAAAGAATGGGACATTCCACGCAGAGTTTATATCTTCTACGTGATCTTAACCTCAAAAGTGTCAGTCCAACTTTAATTTTTAAAGCCAAATAACCCTCGAATCCAATTCACCTGCCTGGACCATTCTTCCTTTAAGACAAGGCAGAAGCCATCGACAGTGATATTGCCCTCATCGTCGACAGTGACATTGTCCACCTTAACATTGTAAGTCTCCCCGTCGACTTCGAAGTCCTCCGAGGTGTAAGGAAAGTACGTGCTCAGCAGAGCCACAGTAACTGTGAAAAATATTGGGGAAATAACGCCTTTTAGGGGTGTGCAATAAAGTCATTGCTAGGTTGCAGTATGGCTTCGAGTTCCCCTCATTAAGAATGCCCTTGCAAGGGTGTAAATAGCTTTGAAAATACTACGAAAAAGCTAGTGTCGTATTAAAGTCTTACGGCGCATGGATTCTTTCCCCGGACACAACTAGCCAATTCATCCACCCGTAAGAATCTTCACCCCAACTAAGGTTTACAGAACCGGTACCGTTTTAAAATTCTGAAATTTTTCAATCCTAAATTTGAGAGAAAAACACCCAAAATGATTGTCATTGAGCGGTGCTCCTTCCCCAATGGATACAGCACTGGATGAAGCATTCTGGTGTCAGGTGAAGGTTCTGGTGAATTCACATTCATTATAATCCACGATCCACTTGCGATTACTGACTTACGATTACTGACTGTCAAGCCCAGTTCCCCGGCTTGCAGGATTTAATTCCCTTCTCAAACTTTAAAATGTCCCAGCGCACCTATACCTGTGCATACACGTGCAAGGCCTTTTACAATGCAAAGCGAGTTTATGCTTAGCCCTATATACTTGGCCCCTTAATTTATGTAACAAGTAGCAAATAGTAACAGTGAATTCATTAAACGATGCATGGTTTGTATTCAGGAAACTCTAAAGGAATAGTTTGAGCAAAAGATTTGGTGGGTTTTTACACCCACCCAATCCCACAGGTCTACTTAGCATTCTAAGTGGGGAATTTCCTTGGAAGAGTTGTGAAATTGGACTAGGGCATAAAAAGTTTTCCCCGCCTTATCTGGCTTCATTGAAGCGTGATTGAAGACGACTTCCTGAACTACGGTTACACGTGACTTTAAGAATTTCGGCCTAACCTCAGTCTCGATGAATCTGAGTGCCGCTATTAAAACACCTTTAATTTGTTTTTCGAGGCTTGGGTCGAAAGGTTGAGTGCCGTAAATCTTTACATCTCTGGAGTTGCATTGTCAGTTTAAAATAAGGGAAGTTAAACATGACCACGTGAACCATTGACAGAAGCTCACCGTTTGTCTTTTTGTCATCAAGCCTGCGAAGTGTGTCCTCGTCGAACTGAAAGAGTAACTTGTCGCTGTTCCGATTGTACAATACAAGTCCATCTGTAAATTGAGGTGAAATTATACTCTAGGAGAGAAGTTTTATCATTGTTGAGAGAGTTTAAATGCTTCCAATATGCAAAACAGTTTGTTTGTTTGTTTGTTTGTTTGTTTGTTTGGGTGTTGGGGGTGTTGGGGTGTTTGTTGGGTTGTTGGGTTGTTTGTTTGTTTGTTTGTTGGGGTGTTTGTTTGTTTGTTTGTTTTGGAGTTGAAACTGAGCTTCGGATTCTTTTGATCCAACTGTTGGCAATACAATCACATTAAAAGTTAAAAGCTTTGATGCAACTTCTACAGCGTTAGTTTAGTCATGGAGGAAGGTTTAGTTGAGGTGTGGCGGACAAAGCAGGAGGGCGCTATTTGAATTGGGTAATTTTTTGTGTGTTTGCCCCCAAATTTTGCCTGCCACTTCAAATAGCGCCCTCATGTTGTGTCATCCGAGCAAGTTTTGAAAAGGCTAATGAATTGGTCTTGAAAAAGTACAACTCTCAAATGGCTTTTCCCTTATACTAATCGGTATATTAGGCCAAAATTTGTCGGTTGATTCTTTGGTTCAACAGACATTTGAACGGTTTTATAAAACTTTACTTTCATAAAATACTGTGGCAAGTATCTTACATCCAGGGGGTGTATCTGTCACATAATAGCATTCTCCTATGCTGCAGATGGTCGCTTCGGGACAATCTGAAAAAAGAAGCAACATTTAAATGTTACACTGTGGTAATAGATTTTGGATTTTTTATGGGTCACGAATAAAAGCAATCATAAGCGTAGTCTGGTGGGACTCGAACCCACGACTTCCTGGTTACTTTTGGCAGATGTCTGAACCACTTGACCACTGAGCGACTCAGTACAACACAGTTATGGCGGGGACGTTTCTCATCACCTCCATCTTCAACTCTATCCATGTTATTAACCCAAAGGAAAATTCCTCATGATATATGTATACATGTACTCACCTTTTTGCACCTCGCGTTTTTCTTCCGAAGCCAGAAGGCGTTCGAGCAACTGGTTCACCAGATCCAAATCCTCGCGTCGTTTGAGCGAATCCTGTCAGAGAGATGGCAACAGATGTTGGCTAAATTCACTAGGCTGGTGTTACATTTCGGTCAGCTGGTATTTATAACCCGAGCAGCTTGCTATTGAAATGTAATTGATCTCATTGTTTGCGCAGGATGACATGTCAAAGGGCACATGCATATTCAGGAAGTCGAATAAGGAGGAGACTTTAATATCAAGATTGGGCCCTTCAATAACCCCCGGGATAACGACGTCATTATTTTGAAACATCACAAAATAATTTGTTTGTGTCTAACAAGTGGTTTTGTCATTTATTTGTTAAAGTATGGCAAACAAAATTGGAGATGTGAAAAAAATAACTGTCCTGTGCCACAAGAAGGCGCCCGTTTATTTTATGAAGTCAACAATCTTCTAAGTTGCCAAGAATACGACTCGTAACATCTTAGTACCGGTATAGTGACGTCACGAAAGCGTGCATATAAAGGTTTATGTTAGACCAAGTTTTATTTTGGTTCGAGTGCACCTTTACTCTGTCACAACACAACACATTCAACAAAGCTGTCCTTGTAAACGACAAAGGAATGTGAACGCACAACAGACTCCATACCTTCAGATTACATTATGTTTGGATTGTTGAATCCTTTTTTTCTGTGTACAGCGTTAGTCATTGTATTCCTTATACCAAGCTTCAACTTGGGGGCGAGGGAGCGGCCGCACTGCTCAATTCGCTCTTCGCACGCTGCCACTATAGGCTAGGGGAAAGAGTTCCGCTACATGGACGGCATTTGACACCCCATGCACAAACCCTATGAGACTAGTGTAAAAAAAATTTCCAAGTTAACGTCTTGTTTTTTCCCTCATATATTGAACTTTTCTGGACATGGTTTTGCTTTCTGAAGGCTAATAGGTCACAATGGGGAAAAGGCTGATGCTTCCCGCCTCTCCCCGGAAAACCAAAAGAAACAGAAAAACAAACAATGAAAGAAAGTGGTAAAATAAAAAATGAAAGGGAATTAAAAACACCAGTTTACTTGTTGATCTATTCCACAGATGGTGATTTATCAGTTTGGGAAAGAATGTTGTACCCTACCTATGCTTTTATTCTTATATCATCTCCACAAAAGCTTCAACAATACCCTCAGAGACATGTTGGATAAACAGAGAAACAACAAACGACAGTCGTTCTGAAAAGTTAACACGATTTTCACTCCTCGCTGTGAATACCAAGACGAGCAAAGCTGGCGGACTTACCGCAACTTGTGCATGAACTTGAAAGCACGCAGAAAAAAAAAATTAAATAGCTACTTATACGGAGATAAGTAAGATTGGAAGCTTTGCAGGGTGGAAGTCACTTATGAGATCCAGGCTTGCAGGGAGGCCTACACCGTGGAATCAATCTCTGGCCCTCCTCAGGAAAGTGTAAAACGTCGAGTTAATACTCACCGCTTTTTTGAGAACCACACCTCTTCCAAAAGAGATTGATTCCACGGTGTACACGCAAGCCTTCATCTCAGCTTATACGGAGTGTTTCCATACCTTGAGATTCGTTTCATATCGACGGGTCTCCGGCCTTGCGCGAGAAGCCTGGATGGCCACCATGCCAAGGACCAACAATATGGCTGTAAATCGGAACATCTTCAGCTTGATGAACTTGGAAAACCTGACCGTCAGATCGCTAAGTTTTCTAAGCTTATGCAACGTGTACAGCAGCAGTAGCTTAGTCAATGTCGTCTGGCTGTGGTCGGTTGACTGCGGATGGTTTTTTTATAGGCTGAACATTCTCAGTCAATTTGTATATTGAATGCCCTCAGTTCAATACGCTGGAATTGCTTACTGGATTTGTCACGTATCACCTCATAAGGAACAAAAAGAAAAAAAAAACGGTCTACCTTTTCCCTCTCTGTAAAATGGAATAGTCCAGCCAGAAAACGTGTATTGGTTTGAAGAAAAAACAAACAAAAGTGTGTGTTGTGTGTCAAGCACTAAGTGGGCGCAAGTAATTTCCACAACTTGAACATTTCTAATAGACTCCAAACTATGACTTGATAAGCAAGATTTTTGTGAACCCACACTTTGCCTCAATTTCACTTGGCCTGTTGCGAAATAAAATAAAGGGTTGTGCCTGATGTATTAAATGGAAAGCGAACGGAAAAGCAAACAATGATAAATCGTGTGCTTTATCGTTAGCTTTTCATTACAAAAAATCAGTTAAAATATTGCTTTACAGTTATTTTTCATCACAAGGAAAAAAGTTCGCATTTCCTGGTAGAGTTTTAACTGTTACAAAATATTTGTTGAAATAGGGCCTAAGCAAGGTGATTGTGGGTGTCACGACAGAGCCTAAGCAAGATGATGGTAGGTGTCATAACAGAGCCTAAGCAAGGTGATGGTAGGTGTCATAACAGAGCCTAAGCAAGGTGATGGTAGGTATCATAACAGAGCCTAAGCAAGGTGATGGTAGGTGTCATAACAGAGCCTAAGCAAGGTGATGGTAGGTGTCATAACAGAGCCTCAGCAAGGTGATGGTAGATGTCATAACAGAGCCTAAGAAAGGTGATAGTAGATGTCATGATTCACTCTCCATGATTGCACAATCATGCATGACAAACCGCACCAAAAAGACAGTGGCAAATATTTTATTATTTTTTCAAGCATTTTGGTTTTAATCGAGTTGCTGACAACTGTGAGCACAAAAGCAATTTTTTTATTCTGAATATTCCTGAAAAATATATAATAAAGCTAACCAACGAACTTTAAGGACGCAGGATAAGCCCCGCCCGTACACCCTCTTTCACGATCACGAGCGTCGTCAGCAGGTTGGGGAGGTATGTGGCACAGCTAGCTGAGTAGTAGTACGGCCCCGGGTAAGTTGTCGTGTTTAGACCACACCTACTTTTACTGTAGGCCTATCCGGTTCGTAAGTGTGACGTCACTTCAGTTTAAACCACGCCTACTGCAAACGTGCACTGCGCATAGCGTAACATGCATGCACTGATTGCCGTTTACGTGGAATCATGGAACCAGAAGTTAACGCGCAACTTAAGCAATCGTCCAATGGGAGCCTGCAAATCATGACGCGTCTGCCTTTCTGATGAAGTCACTTACGAACCGGATAATTCGATTGGACGCCATAATTGTGGTGGCACCGCACATTCTTCAGCTTGACGCGCGCGTGCATTTGGCAAATCACGACAGCCTATTGGGCGAAGGGGCATGTAACGCGGGCGTGCTACTATCCACGAGCGTTGTGCCACCGCAGTAATGATTTCTTGTTCTGGCTTTCGAATTACACTATATTTACACACTAAAAATGCAACTACTGAAAAAAGCGTTCAAATACACCCTGAATACCTAAACAGGAGAGTGTTTTAAAATTAACATTTTAAATCTTTTATTTGATACATGTAAACAAGCCGCCACTGCTGAGAGGGTAAAAAAATTGTCAGCTAGCTCGCTGCTTAATAGTACCAGAAAGGTTTGCTGGTTATGCGTCACTTCACTCATTGAAAAATTAAAAACCTCCAAGGACGTTGACTGCTCTTAATTGTTTGCATTGTTTTGTCTGGTTTGGTTTGGTTTTCAAAATTGGTTGATTTTAATATGTTGTTTTTTGCTCCATAGGCTAGACCACCGCGATACACTAAGAAGTTACAACAACCCTTGCTCGTGTCATTATAATTGACTGGTGCAGTCCTCATTAAGTTTTTAAAAGCCTCTTGCATAATAATGATGCATACAGCAGTATTCTTTTCGAAAAAATTGCCACGGCTCTAGAATTTTTTAATGACCAGCTGCAAATAGCTTTTAGCCCAGTTATGTGGCACAGCTGAGCCGAATCGTAGAAAGAGGGCAGTATTTATGAAATTCTAAATTTTACCGTGCATAATTCAACAATAATCAAAGCCTACTTTGTCTTTGAACAACAACTCATCAGTTTGAGGTGGAGACAACAATCTTCACTCAGTAGCGTTTAAAAACTATTCCCTTCAATGGAGGGCGCTGTCTCTTCAACTCTGTACGGATTGAACTACTCGATCAAAAATGTTGTTGTATGACTAATGCGTTGACTATGGTGCGACGTAAAATACATGACATTGTTCGTGTACGGGTGACCCCGGCCCCGGTCAACGCAATAACTCCTCGATGTTAATTTTTGCTCACTTTTGAAGCATCTCAAAACGGAAAGTGCTGTACTCTGAGAAGAAGATGGCGGCAAGTGTCGTAAGATCGGGAGTGGACGAAAATGGAGAGGTGACAGAGCCAAAAGGCAAAGTGAAAGAGAGTAAGTCTGTGTTGTCATCGGACATGTCGGATTGTCCATCTTGTCACAGCCGGTCACAGTCTCAGTCTTTGCAATGCAAGATGGCATGCCATGGGCCATGGAGGGCCCTTGAATATACGGACATCCCTTGACCTCCAGTGCACAAACCCTATGAGACTGGTCTGGAAAATTCGCAGTGTTTTCTAAGAATATGCTTCAACGTTTGCACTGCTAAAATTGGCTTTTTTTAGGAAATGTTGTCGCTTAAAACTACACCACGGCAAGGGAAAATTATTCACGTCCATGTACACTGTATAGAACTATGCCTGTATTCTTTCCGTTGCTTTGAGTCCCAGACTATTTTGTGTAATTAGGGCCTATAAAACAATCATTGGAAAGAGCTCCATATCCGAACACCACATGATACTATGTGTTTTCTAAGTAATGACTTGATATTTTCCTGCCTAAACTAAACTTGGAAAGAGTTCCATATAAACAAAAACAAAATTTCCATAAATTAACCATAGCCATAATAAAAGTGATAACGCGTCCTAAAAAGTGAAATTCAGCTGAGAAAATGGAAGGAGTTTCACAGACAGATCCCAGTAATTTTATCTGACAGGGACCAATATGTACATGTATCAGAGGTCAGTAAGCAAAAACATGTCCAGATAAGTTCAGTTGAGGAGAGAAAAAAAACCAAGTGATTTACTTAGAAAACACTTCGAATTTTAAGACAAGTCTCGTAGGATTTGTGCACAGGGGGCCAAGTGGTATCCATAAATGGAACTCTTTCTGAGAAAATTCTATTTAAGCATTTACATGTAGGCCCCACTTAGAAAACAGGTTTTTTCAGACAAGTCTCACTCTCATAGGTTTGTGCACAGGTTCAAGTGTTGCCCAGAACTCTTTCCTTGAGCTTTTCTGGACATGTTTTTGCTTTCTGATGGCTAACGGGTCACTCTACAGGAATAATTCCTGGGGTCCATGGATACATGTATATGGAACTCTTTACCGATCATCAAAAACTGATGGCTGTTATGGGTCACGGCAAAAATGCTGATTTAGCTTCGGGCATCTCAGAAAATGTTATCAAACTTGCATGTATTCAGGAACATAGACCTTTCATTCTTTTTTTTTTTTTTTGGTAATATTTTTGTTTGATGAGCACTGAATATTACACGGCCACTGAAACATGATTTTTCATACTCACCAAACAGCTGTCAATATCTACATGTAACAATTTCTACCTGTTACCATGGTTATCTCAGGTATATCAGTCGAGCTCCTTCCCAGTCCCATCGCTATGCAGCGACAATGGCAGCAAAGATAACTGCTCTTTCTACATGTGTGTGCAGTCTCCAATTTAATTGTAGGCTTATCTGTATCTAACGCAGTGTGCCCAGAACTGCATAAAAATTAAAAATGGACTGATGCATATTACATATTGCATGTTCATGTATTTGAACACGTTAATTGAAGTCACTTGCAACCGACTACCTGGCAAGCGTTATTTGTGTTTTTTCCCAGTACATTATTTTCACACCGTGCAAAGTGATCAGAGTGAAATTTTTGACAAAATATGCAGGGATCAAAATTATGGCAGCTGACTGTACTATATGAGTAGCATTGCATGTTTGGACACGGAAGCTTACCATCACACGTATCTCTCTTGTGCACGTTTTGCCACATGTTGCTCGCATTTGCAAGCAAATTAATATCTACACCTAGAGAGACCTGGTGTTTACACGCTTGTGTAGAATTGTACATTGCCGAGGTTTATGCAGTGGGATAATATCATTGTTATTGATATTATTGATTGTCGACTGTTGGAACAGTGAGCCAGTGCGCGGAATAAATGCAGGAATTTTACATACAGGTGAAAATATCTCATTTTAGACACATAAATACTTGTAGGTAAACCGTCCTGTTATGTGCCCAATGGTATCAATGAAAGTAGAAAGTGGATGCGTTTGTTCGTGGAAAATTATGTTGAAACAGGAAAAAGGTGAAATTTTTGGAATGAAATCATTCAGTGTTTCCAGAGAGTGACATGTTTTAAATATTGCAGACTTGGGAGTTTTTAAGTGTAAAAATGTCTGAATTGGGCAATTTTAATGGTTGATCTTGTCTTCATCATAAGGTGGGCAGAATGGTCACACCAGTTTTTACCTTTAAAATTCTCCCTTGATGTACGTGTGATGGTGCTTTGTGATATCTGAACAAGGTCACTGAAAAAAAAGCTTGGAACTGAAAAAAACAACCTTGGGTATGGTATTGTGTTTGGCTGTTGGGTATAGAATTGTGTTGGTGTACATGTTCAAATGTACATGTACTGGGTTGGTACATGTACGGATATACATGTACATGTACATTGGTATACTTGTACGTGCACATCCATGTACATGTAGTTGACATGTTAAACCTACACAAGTTTATGTGTGCCCGTGTATGTGGAGATGTATGGGTGAACATCAGGGGTGTGGTTTGTCAGAATTTTTCCCGATTTCAGGATTTTTTCATCAAGATTTTCCTGACTTCAGGTTTTTTCCAAGTTTTCCGCTATACACTTTTTACGTATGCATGTAAGAATTTATTATAGAACGTAAGAAATGGGTATTTGAAGGGTTGCCTTTCGGTAAACACAACCTCATACATGTTCCATAGACCTTACATGTACACTGCCCCTAGACCCTCAAAACAACTGGTGGTTATTTCGTGGATTTTTAATTTTCCTCCAATCTTGCCCCTGGCACATGTATACACTGTACATGTACATGTTTACGTTCCCAAAGTTGTTCATGATACACTTACAGTGCACATGCACATGTAGGTGTACATATGTGTACATTAATGTACATTTCAAATTCCTTAACTGAAGTGGTTTTTCTGTGTTGGCAAATTACCAGTTTATATGTACAGGAACCTGGTATTATCAAGAAATGATTTGGAACTGACAATTTTTGTGTATTTTTGTTGGCAGAATCTTATATTGACATTATTCTTATCAACGAGGTTTGACTTAAAGTCGTTCATGAAGGTGTGCCTGTTCACACAGGTCCATTCTCATTCTTGATGTCGTGTTGCCATTTGCTTTGAAAGTATTAAACATGGTTTCATTTTGTATGTTTATCGCTATGATGTACTGTACTTGCATCTAGGTATGTTGCCAAATAAACAAACTAGGTCAATTCATGCATTTTGCTCCAAAGGGGTCAAACTTTTAGATACTACATTTTCTTTATATTTCAGCGGACTTTGACTTCAAATGTTGGTTTTCCTTTCTGGGCCGGCATACACCGTACGTGCTTGTTTACTTTTGATAATCTGTATGTTTTCTGTTATGTTTCAGTCCAGAAAGAATGGTCCGTCTTCGAAGATGGTGCTCTAGCTTACAAACTCCAGGAGGAAGAGAGTAAGTGTTGATTGGTTTGGGCTGTGACAGGTGGCTTAGGAAAGGGAGAAAAGGAATGTATGAAACTTGAAATCAACAATTTTTTAAAAATACATGCTAGTCGTATCTTCTGACATCTGTCCTTTACATGTGCAGGTGCACAATATCCACTTGCTCCATTCAATAAACCAAAATGGCACCTGTTGTACAGTGTACGTTATCTCTTATCATTGGCCAGCATCATTTGGACTTCTTTCTTTCAACTTTTTTTCAGCACCCCCATTTAACCCAATGTTAGGTACTGTTTTTATGTATTCCAGAATGTGCTTATTGTATTTAACGGGCGCGGAAAAATTGTACCAGTGTTTGAAATCCCATAACTGCTTGTAGTTACACGAACATGATTTACTGATGTTCACATCTATACTCGGCATTGACGGACTCCCTACTTTCAAAGGGCTTTTATACAGTGACCTGCTCAAATACAGGCAGCAAATAACATACAACTTGTCTATTAGACACAAACCAGTTCAAATGGTGTTTTGGATGCGTTTCACCTGTTCTGCTCCTATATGTACACTCTAAATGTAGAAACGTGGGGAAAAAAAACAGGAAGAGTTCCATATGGACACCAGTGATTATTCCCGAGAGTAACCTATCAGCTGTCAGAAAGCAAAAACATGTCCAGCAAAGTTCAATTTTTGAGGGGAAAAACACTGAGAATATTCAGACTAGTCTCATAGGGTTGGTGCACAGGATGTCAAGTGGCATCCCTATATGGAACTCTTTAAAAAAAACACTCTTCAAAGAGTCTTATAAGGGGAACGGTTGTCAACTCTTCAAAATGAAGTTGGCATCTTTTTTGAGTGGTTGTTCACCCTTGGCCAGAATGAAAACCACTCTGTATGTGTGAAGTACTTGAAACCCAAACTTCATTTTTTTAAGAGCCGTATTCATAATGAGTGGTGTTTTCCACTCTTTTACATTGAATGAGTGCAGCAGCTTACCCGTACATGGATGTACACGGCTGCACATTTCTGTCATAATGTCCAACAGGACGGCCCTGCTTTTGTTGGGAAACTATTGAGGCATGAATGACGGGACTCGATAAATAGAAGTGGTTCTGATGCAGGAAACAGTCAGGGGGGGGAAGATTTTTGTTGAAACTGACATGGGCGTGTGTCAAACATACTAAGTTTAGCTCCACAATGTGGCGATATTGCATCAGGTTTTGGGGAAGTGAGGGTTGGAAAATGTTTCTCACTCGAAATCAGGAAATCTAGAAATTATAGATCGGTAGATCATGAGTTGTACATTGTGCATCCGCTGTGAGCGTATTCACAGTAGCATTTGCTTGACAGCATGAGTCATCCAAAGTCTATTAGCTAATTCAATATACATACCGTAAGAAGAATTGCAGCTTTCATTTTGCTTCCTTTTCTTTAGTCTGAAATCCCTCAGGCTACCTTCACTTTAAACTGAGTCTGATCTTTGCCCAACTTTAGTTTGTGCTGGATTAATGACATATTGTGACCTTTCTGTCTTCAAAGTGCCCGTATGACGCCAAGCCACATGTAAAGTGATTGTAATCTCTTCAATCTCATTTAGAAACAGTACATAATTTGGGGTTCTGAGTTATTCACATATCCTTTTGAAAGATGTTTAGATTCTCTGGCTAGCTGAATGTGTCAGTATTGTTAAGTCATTTGAGGTTCTGAAATGCAAGCTTTGATGTCATGCCGCTTAGCAGAAATTCTTTCAAAAGAATGCACACGTAGGTACAGCACCCATTCAAGGAAGAATTCCCAAATTGCCAGACATGGGGGAAAAACAGCTTTGTGGGTATCGTAGGGAAACCTTATTGTAAATGAGGAAATGGCAAGGCAGAGGCCAAAGCTGTTTAGGTTGAGCACACTGAAGATCTATTGTACTAACCAGCGTAAATGCCACACAGTGTGATGCACATACAGTATGTCTGTGCGAAGCTTTTGCAATGAGATTTTCTGTGTAGTGCAATACCTGTTCAATAGTAACTTGAAACTGGAGCAAAGCTAAGCAAGCAAGTATAGTTTTCTTAACTGACACAAATTGAACATTGCTTTTGACCCACTGATGTGCATGGAAAGTAAGGATACTTCAGAGGTAACTGCTGTTTTTGTCCGTTGCAGATGTCACACACTATTCGGGCAACATTAACAGACGGCGGACAGTCAGGTCAGACATCAAGGTGGCTAAAACAGCAGCCGACGAAGAAGCACTGCAGGCATTCAAAGAGGAACATGAAAAAGTTGAGAGAAACCGCCAGATGTAAGACCACCAAATTATTTAGTAGCACCTGAAGTTCCATAGTTTTGTGCACCTACATATTCATACTTGTGCCCCTGTTCAATACACCTCTGAGTCTTGTGCCTATGATTTCAAGGTCTTCCACTTCCGTACATGTAGGCCTCTGTATGAAACTTTTTTT